CCCCCCCACACACACACCCATAAGAAGATGTTTCATGCTAAGAAGATTTTTTTAAGTTTTTACTATACACATATACAGTAGAACTTCGGGAAGTCGAAGTTGGAGGGACATGCGTAAAAACTTCGATACATCGGGACTTCGACTCATGAATCGCTCTCAATTCCATGACAAAATTTCGACCCGTGACTAGTCCTAATTATAAGATGTATAACGAAACCTTTTTTATGTTTTCCATCATTAATCTGATATTTACATTTTACAATGATAAACATAGCACGTTAAATAACGTTTTTCACGGCTAATTATTTGGACTACCCATTGACGTATACAACAGAGTTACAAAAGGCGTAACAATACGAAAGGGCGATAACTAAACCGGCTTATAGTAAATATTTTGCTTGTCATTCTCACGCAACACCGGGTCAAGGATGTTTTCAAATGAAAGTAGTTCTTACTATTTACTTTCAAATACCACTACGGCAATTAAAATAGAAACGATTAAAGCATTTTATCACACATTTTATCGCAAACAAAGGCTGTTTGTACACACGACTGTGTAATTAACACCTGTCACACAAGTTGATTGGAAATCGTCTTCGCAGCCAGATAAGGTGTGAAAAATGTCTCGAGATCGAAGGTGTCAAAATAATCGACTTCGACTTATTTGTGGTAAATTGCACTAGATTAACTTTATACGGACCACGGAAAAACTTCGACACATCGAAAAATTCGACACATAAAATCTCGACTCATCAATAGGTTTTTATAAGGAACATATAGGAGGAAAAGTCGGGACTTTCATTTTTCTTCGACACATCGAGAAAATCGACTAATCGAAGTTCGACTCATAGAAGTTCTACTGTAGTTAAAAACAATGACACCCCTAGGGCGGGGCCAGTTTTGACCCCAGGGCTTTTATTTGAACAAACTTTGAAGACACTTACTAGAAGATGTTTCATGCTTAAGATCTAAACTCTAGCTATTTGGGTTTCTTAAAAAGAAGATTTTAAAGTTTTTGCTATACACATATAAGGAAAATCAATGACCCCGGGGCGGGGCCAATTTTGACCCCAGGGCTTTTATTTGAACAAACTTGGTAGACACCTATTAGAACATGTTTGATGCTAAATATCTTAGCTCTAGCTCTGTGAGTTCTTTAAAAGAAGATATTATAAGTTTTTACTATATGCATATAGGGAAAAATCAATGACCCCCTGGGACGGGGCCAATTTTGACCCCAGGGCTATTTGAACAAACTTGGTAGACACCCATAAGAAGATGTTTCATGCTAAACATCTAAGCTCTAGCTCATTGGGCTTTATAAAAAAAGATTTTTAAGTTATTACTGTACACATCCCCTGGGGCGGGGCCAATTTTGACCCCAGGGCTTTTATTTGAACAAACTCGGTAGACACCCATAAGAAGATGTTTCATGCTAAACATCTAAAGTCTAGCTCATTGGGCTTTTTAAAAGAAGATTTTTAAGTTTTTGCTATACACATATAGTTAAAAACAATGACACCCCTTGGGCGGGCCAGTTTTGACCCCAGGGCTTTTATTTGAACAAACTTTGTAGACACTTACTAGAAGATGTTTCATGCTTAATATCTAAACTCTAGCTATTTGGGTTTTTTCAAAGAAGATTTTTTAAGTTTTTGCTATACACATATAAGGAAAATCAATGACCCCCGGGGCAGGGCCAATTTAGACACTAGGGCTTTTATTTGAACAAACTTGGTAGACACCTATTAGAACATGTTTGATGCTAAATATCTTAGCTCTAGCTCTTTGAGTTCTTTAAAAGAAGATTTTTAAAGTTTTTACTATATGCATATAGGGAAAATCAATGACCCCCTGGGGTGGGGCCAATTTTGACCCCAGGGCTTTTATGAACATGTTTCATGCTAAATATCTTAGCTCTAGCTCTTTGGGTTCCATAAAAGAAGATTTTTTAAGTTTTTATTATATGCATATAGGGAAAATCAATGACCTCCTGGGGCGGGGCCAATTTTGACCCCAGGGCTTTTATTTGAACAAACTTGGTAGACACCCACTAGAAGATGTTTCATGCCAAATATCTAAGCTCTAGCTCTTAGGGTTTTTTAAAAGAAGATATTTAAAGTTTTTTCTTTCGGTTGCCATGGCAACCACAGTTCTGCATGGAATTAAATTCTTTGAACAATTTTTAAAGGTGACCACCAAAGGAACATTCCTGTGAAGTTTGGATGAAATTGGCCTAGTGGTTTATGAGGAGATGTCATTTAAAGTAAAAGTTTACGGACGCCGGAAGAAAAGCGATCACAAAAGCTCACCCTGTCACTTTGTGACAGGTGAGCTAAAAAGCACTGGGAAATACTAATGAGGCAGTAAAAGACCTTAATTCAACACCATCATTTAATTTTGTTCTAAATTCTATGGGAAATTTCAAAAGACTGGGGAATTTTGAGGACCATACTGGGGGAAAAATGAGGCTATTTTGGTTTGGGGAACCAGTCTATATTCGGTCTCTACAAAGAAGGGTTTTTTGGCCCAGGTTAGATATTCAGCTTGTTATTTTATAAAAACAATCGTATAAAATCACTGACCTGCCATATAAGGTATTTCCATCAACATGGCGGATACAAGATACACACATTCTAGAAGCTCTAGATTAATGTGCATATGGTACGGTAGTAAACGTCTTTTCTCTATCTTTTCCTGCTCCGGGGTACGCTCGTGCTGGCGCTGTAGGAGCAGACCCTACAAATATAAAGTAAATTTTTATTATCAAAAGTCAATTCTTACCGTCTCTAACCGGTAATGTTTTAAAGGGACTCCATTGAGGTTTAAAAGCCTAAAACATAACATTTGAATTTCTTACATAAATGAGCTGAAGCACTTTAAACAGAAATATATTTCAATAACATTTTTTCTATTTAACAGTACAAGCGATGGAACATAGTTTCATCAAAATTAACCAATGATAATTTTTAGGGGAGACTTCCTTAAAAGTTTATATTTTTCAGCCTGTTTTAAAATTGATCTAGAGCCAAGTTTATTTTTCTTTTAAGGGAAATCTTTAAATTTTTCAGTATGTTGTGTTAATTTTCTTAATTTTTTGTAACATTTACCTGTGCGAGAAGTTCCTTAGCTCGACCTCCACTTTGGATATCTACCAGTGCATTGTGAGCATCCTTGGTCATCCCTTGTCTGAATGAACACAGACCTAACTGTACCATTGTACGATTATATAAGATCTGAAAATATAAATGGTAATCTGAAATCAAATACTGACAAAACTAATGTAAGGATTTCATAAATGACTTCATCACATAAATCATGACACAGTAGTGTAATAAAGCCATTTATTACATGCTTTTCGGTGGTTTATAGAAATATAACAGTGAAATATAAAACTAGCTCAATTTGATATTTTCATTGTTTTGAATTTAAGCCTGTTATGTTGTTTCAGTAATATGTCAAAGGGTGAGAAAAATGTGCAGCCTGACCCGCACTCGAACCCGGGACCCTTGGAATACCTTTCCGTGGCTCTTCGGACTGAGCTATCAGGCCACTTACACATCTTCTCCCCTAAATAGTGAACACTTCTGAAATGTGACATACTCTCATGCTTTATTGAAATTCGTCCTCGAATTTCACAGAGTTACAGAGCAATATGAGCTATATCAGTCACGGTCCCCTGTTGGGTGCCAAATGTCACAGGGTGAGAAAAATGTGCAGCATGACCGGGACTCGAACCCGGGACCCTTCGAATACCGTTCCGCGGCTCTACTGACAGTTATACGGCCGCGTACACATCTTCTCCCCTAAATAGTACAGTTCTGACAGATATACTGTAATCTGTTGCTTTTACGATTTGAGCTATAAATTATTAACTTTTTTTCTTTTAAGCATCTAATTAACTTGATAACAACCAAAATAGCCAAATACACAAAATCAAGATAACCAGTCTTTTAAATGTCATTTCAAATTTTTCAAATTATACTATATACTATACAAACATATATTGATATTTTCACTTTGATTATATCAATGACAGAAAACAGAGCTACATAAACTAGAACTGCCACTGTCATGGCGTGAATACCCCCGCATGCCACTTTGTCAGAATCAACAGTGGCCATTTATAGCTGAAGGACAACTTCCCTGCCAAATCTGAGGTTACTAAGCCAGTGCATTGCTAAGTTATGTATTCTACATGCTTCAAATGTGAAAATGTTAAAATCAAAACACTGCGGACAGGCATTCTTAAGCAATTAAGGGGAAAAGTTTTTTTTTGTCAAGGTCCCTGTGACCATTGACCCAGTGTCCTCAAAATCAATAGGGTAACCTTATGGTCATGATCAATCTCCATGCCAAATATGAAGACTGTGGGTCAAAGGAATCTTAAGTTTATGAGCAGACAAACTTTTTGAAGTCAAAGTCCATGTGACCTTAACCTTCGACCCAGTGACCTTTAAATCAATAAGGGTCACTCACCTACTAATCATGACTAACCTCCATGCCAAATATGAAGACTATGGGTCAAAGGAATCTAAAGTTTTTTGGCGGACAAGCTTTTTTAATCAAGGCCCCTGTGACATTGACCTTTGACCCATCAATAGGGATCATCTACAAATCATGACTTACCTCCATGCCAAATATGAAGACTGTGGGTCAAAGGAAACTTAAGCTATTGGGCGGACAAGCTTTTTGCAGTCAAGGTCCCTGTGACCTTGATCTTTGACTCAGTGACCTCAAAATCAATCGGGGTCATCTACTGATCATGACTAACCTCCATGCCAAATATGAAGACTGTGGGTCATAGGAATCTTAAGTTTTTGGGCGGACAAGCATTTTTAAGTCAAGGCCCCTGTGACCTTGACCTTTGACCTCAAAATCAAAAGGGGTCATCTACTAATCATGAATAACCTTCATGCCAAATATGAAGACTGTGGGTAAAAGGAATCTCAAGTTATAAGGCGGACAAGTTTTTTGAAGTCAAGACCCCTGTGACCTTGACCTTTTACGTGGTGACCTCAAAATCACTAGGGATCATCTACTAATCATGACTAACCTCCATGCCAAATATGAAGATTGTGGGTCAAAAGAATCTTAAGTTATTGGGCGGATAAGCTTTTTGAAGTCAAGGCCCCTCTGACCTTGACCTTTGACTTGGTGACCTCAAAATCAATAGGGGTCATCTACTAATCATGACTAACCTCCATGCAAAATATGAAGACTGTGGGTCAAAGGAATCTTAAATTATGGGGCGGACAAGAAAATATTGAAGGAGAGCCGGGCGGCCAGACTCCAGTATACCATACCCCCCTTATAACTTTGTTGTGCGGGGTATAATTATATTTTAAAGCAGCCATATCACTGGGTTTTTTATTCTGAATGACTGTTAGTATGCAATAAATTTTAAATTGATTTTCTTTCAAGCAGGCATTTTTATTCATATGTTTAAATAATCAATACCAAACAAAGGTAGAAGTTTAAATGTAATGTATTGAATCTCTATTGTGGGTGTAACCCGATATCATTTTATAAATCTATTTTCACTACAAGTTAACATAACATTGAGTAGACGGGCACTGACTTGTCGGATCAATAACTTAAGACAATTGTTTTTCAATATCCTAATGAGAAGTTTAAATCACTGGTGAGTAAATTTACTCAATATCTATGATTGAAACTTAAATAATTTTTACTATATACTTTAATAAACCAATCAATTTACTCAATATCTTTGTTTAAAACTTAATAGTTTACTATATACTTTAATATATCAATTTAAAAAGATTTAACATTAATGACCTTGAGACATTTTCTGTGCCCCACCCACAACTCAAACTGGATTTTTTTTTATTTTGTTGTGTTTGGTGTGTCAACAGCCATGTATCTATCCTTAAAAAGTCACAGATGCCCTAAAAATGATCCAATTTTGCCAGAGCTTAGTGATAATGCTTTTGTTACTGGGTTAAAACTGACTTTTAAAATCTTGATATCCTAAAAACTGAATTATAAGTTTAATAATTCTGAAAATGAAGGCTATTAATAAGACAATCATGTTCATTTGAGAAATTCAGCAGATTTTGGTATAACAACGATTCGTTTTTATAGGGGTTTGATATCCTTGGTTTAAAAAATATTCAGTCATGGACCAATTAAAAATACAATGATGAAAATCTGAAACAAAACTGTTGGAGAAGTCATTTTAATAAAACCATAAAAATTCATGTCCATGAAATGAAGTGAATTCAAAGCAAGAATAAGAAAAAAAAATTACTTTCAAGTTTCTTTATTTGTTATGAACAAAAAGCCACTTCAAGTATCTATTTATTTCTATTTTAGGCAATATTATGGCTGTACCGGATAAGAAATCATCTCAAAAAGTTTCATCTATACTATCTCAAGGTGGTGCTGAAGATTTTGACATATTCTGTAATCAATGTGACAAAGATGACATCAGACTACCTGCCTTTGGTTACTGTGTCGATTGTGAGGTACATTTATGTCAAACTTGCTATAACACTCACAGGCGACCAAAACCACTACGCCATCACCAACTTCTAGATAAAGATCACATGCCACAAAAACAAAACCTCAGTAAGTCATTAAAATCTACTTTAGGCCCACAGGATGGTGATTTATCAAAGCCTTGTACCAAACATACCAAAGAAAAGATCAAGTTCTACTGTCATGACCATAATACACTTATATGCAGCATTTGTGTGACCCTTGAACACACACCAACATCCTGCAATGTGGACTACATACCTGATATATCAGGAGAGATTTTAGACAGTACTGAGTTCAAAGAAACTCTTAAAGATATTCACAAATTAACAGAAGAATGCTGCCAGATTACAAAAGATATGAAACAAAGAGTTGCTAAATCAACAACTTCTCTGAAAGATTCTATAGCAGAGATAGAGAAATTTAGAAAAGAGATTAACAAGAGATTAGATGAACTAGAAAAGGAGGTTAAAGATACTGCAACAACAATTCAACATGACAACAGCAAAAAGTTGAAAACAACAGAAACAACATGTGATAACATCAACAGATCACTCCAAGCATCAGCTGATACTTTAAAACATCTCAACACCAACAAGAAAACTGACCAACTGTTTACTGAATTGAAAACAGCTCAGCAACAGATATTACACAATGAAAATTTAACAAAAAAACTACTTACAACCAATGATGTTGATGAATACACTTTTGAACCAAATCATGCTATCAAAAAACTCATTAAGAATGAGAAATCATTAGGGGCGTTGAGAAAAAAGGCAATAAAGCAACCAGCCCAATCAAAGAATACGGCTACAGTACCAATGAAAATGACTTCCTCTAGAAATATCAATGTTAAAACATCCTCAGATACAAAGGAACTGAAACAACCAGCTCAATCAAAGAATAAGGCTGCATTACCAATGAAAATGTCTACCTCTAGAAACATCGATGTTAAAACATCCTCAGATACAGAGGAGTGCCATATATCAGGTTTAATTGTCTTTTCTCAAAATCAAGTATTTGTAGCAGATAACAATAATAAATCAATTAAAATGATAGACATAAACAGTGAAGAAATCAAACAACTAAAGCTTGAATCAAAGCCCTGGGATATCACCATAGTGACCAGAGATACACTTGCTGTTACATTAACATACACCGACACAATACAGTTCATTTCCTTCTCCTCAAACTCTCTCTCATTGAAAAACAAACTGAAAGTAAGTGGATGGTGCCATGGAATAAGCCATCATCAGGGGAAACTTGCATTGACATTTTTATCTCCTGCCAAACTCCAAATCATGGACTTGAAAGGTAATATGAAAATTACAGTTGAGAAAGATTCCAATGGTGACAGTATTTTCATTCAACCTTGGTATGTCACCACAAACAGTCATTCAATCTATGTATCTGATACCTACAAATGTGAAGTTATATGGTTTAATTGGCAGGGAGAGATGATAGGAAGGAAAGTAGATATTGAACTTCCAAGGGGTATTTCACTGTTAGATGATGGGTCCTTCTTTGTGAGTGATTACAAGGGTAATTGTATATATAGAGTTAGTGGTGATTGTAAAGACAGGACAACTATACTGAAAGACGTGGAGTGTCCTGAAGCTATATGTTGGTGTGCTGAGACAAGTACACTTTATCTAAATACATATATGATATTTTCTAAAAAGAACAGTCATATAAAAGTGTATAAAATGGTGTAGAACTAAGAAATGACAATTGATGCAGTCAAGGATAGACAAGATACTACCATTAAGTACATCAGATCAAGCAACCATAATCAAGATCACCAGTAGCATTCAAGATCAACAGTAGAATTCAAGATCATCAGTAGAATTCAAGATCACTAGTATTCAAGATTACCAGTATTCAAGATCACCAGCAGCATTCAAGATCACCAGCAGTCAAGATAACCAGCACTCACTTACAATTTAGCAACATTTTAATGGTATTCAATATCATTTGATTTTTGTTGGTCTATGTAATGTGAACTAAAGTAATTTTTTTATAAAAATCCAGGGTGGAAGAGGGGAACTTTTTTCCATTTATGATACTGTGTTCTTTCTTTTCCCTGGTCAGATTACAGTGTTTCAAAAGAAAAATAAATATATAACAAGAGGTTCCTGATTCGCCTACCAGAAACAACTGTTTTTCAGTGTTAGAAATTATTTTTCAAATGAACTTGCCCAAAGGCAGGTCACCTCAACTTTAACTTGCCCCTCTTGTAATAAACTTTCACAACACTGATTGTTTTTTCCCTTCTTCATAATAAACAATAGGGGCAAGATGGCCCTAGATCACTCATCTGACCCATCATTTCATTGTTCACTATATAAATTGAAATATTTTGTCCTAATATTTTAGAAAGGCTTTGTTAATGATATCTATGTTGCAAACGTGTTCCTATGAGACAATGTAGAATAAATGCAGAATAAATGACCACTTTAGCAGGGTTAATTTTGATGGGACTTTTTTATATGAATACAAAAAATGTCACATGCAAAATATGTAAGGTGTAGATGTAAACAAATTTTTTATACATTCAATATTGTAACGTGACTGTATCTAAAAATAAGAGCTGTCACAGGTAGGGTTGGATATCGTTAAGAACGAAACAATAAGATACAATACCGATACTTGTGAAACAATACGGTATTTATTGATACCAAAACTCTATACTTTTAAAGCGTTTGAGCAGCTTTATTCATTATGTATTCATTATTTCTATAGGAATCTTATTTTGTTTTGTTTTATTATCAAATAAAAGTAATTATCAAGCTTCTTTGTAATGTTAATTATATTCCATTTCCCTTTTACTGAGAATGTATTAAGATAAAATTGAGAAAACTAGAACTGCCAATATCATGGCGTGAATACCCCCGCATACCACTTTGTCAGAATCAACAGTGGCCATTTAGAGCTCAAGGACAACCTCCCTGCCAAATCTGAGGTAACTAAGCCAGTGCATTGCTAAGTTATGTATTCCACATGCTTCAAATGTCAAAATCAATACATTGCGGACAGGACATTCTATAGCAATTGAGAATAAAAGCTATTTTTTTGTCAAGGTCCATTTGACCTTGACCTTTGACCCAGTGACCTCAAAGTAAATAGGGGTCACCTTATAGTCATGATCAACATCCATGCCAAATATGAAGACTGTGGGTCAAAGGAATCTTAAGTTATTGGGCGGACAAGCTTTTTGAATTCAAGGCCCCTGTGACCTTGACCTTTGACCTCAAAATCAATAGGGGTCATCTACTAATCATGACTAACCTCCATGCCAAATATGAAGACTGTGGGTCAAAGGAATCTTAAGCTATTGGGCGAAAGCTTTTTGAAGTCAAGGCCCCTGTGACCTTGACCTTTGACCTGGTGACCTCAAAATCAATACGGGTCATCTACTAATCATTACTAACCTCCATGCCAAATATGACGACTGTAGGTCAAAGGAATCTTAAGTTATTAGGCGGACAAGCTTTTTGAAGTCAAGGCCCCTGTGACCTTGACCTTTGACCTAGTGACCTCAAAATCAATAGGGGTCATCAACTAATCATGACTAACCTCCATGCCAAATATGAAGACTAAGGGTCAAAGGAATCTTAAGTTATTGGGCAGACAAGAAAAAAACGACGAACAGCCGGACAGACGGCCGGACGGACGGACAAGCTGATTCCAGTGTACCCCCCTTACAACTTTGTTGTGCGGGGGTATGATGAAAATGTTACTGTTTATGAAATAAAATATTCTGATACCTTGACATCAACATATCAATGAGATCATGAAATAAGCAGGAAAATTAACAGACAAGAGGCCCCAAGAGGGCCATGAGGTCGCTCACCTGTATATAAGCCCCCGGAGCGGGGCCAATTTTAACCCAAGGGCTTTTATTTGAACAAAGTTGGTTGACACCCATAAGAAGATGTTTCATGTTAAACATCTAAGCTCTAGCTCATTGGGTTTTTTAAAAGAAGATTTTGCTATACACATATAGTTAAAAAAAATTGGTCAAAGACAGAAAAGGCCGGGTTGCATATGTATACAAAATATCATGAGGCTATGAAGTTACTTAAATTTTCTACCACTGTCTTGACCATTGATGTTGAAAATTTAACTTAGTTGGTAAAGCGAAAAAGAACAAGAATGTCGAACGACACATATACCCCCCTTTCTAGCCATTGACTCACATAATTGGTAATTTTATTAAAGAAACTTGCCAAAAATGGGTACATGGAAGTGTTCAATTATGGAAAAACCAACGGGAACCATTTTGACATTTAATGCCCATGTGACATTGACCTTTGACCTAATGACCCCTAAATCAATAGAGGTCATCTAATACTTATGACCAATAACTAGGTGAAATATGAAGACTTTGTGATGAATACTTTTCAAGATAATCAGCTGACCCTTTTGACATATAAGGCCTCTGTGACCTTGACCTTTGACCTAGTGACCCCAAAATCAATAGGGGTCATCTTCTAGTGATGACCAATCACTATGTGAAATATCAAGACTTTGTGATGAATATTTTTCAAGATAATCAGCGGAAACCATTTTCACATTTTAAAGTCCCTGTGACCTTGACCTTTGACCTAGTGACCCCAAAATCAATAGGGGTCATCTACTAGTGATGACCAATCACTATGTGAAATATGAAAACTTTGTGATATATACTTTTCAAGATAATCAGCGGAAACCATTTTGACATTTAAGGCCCCTGTGACCTTGACATTTGACCTAGTGACCCCAAAATCAATAGGAGTCATCTACTAGTTATGACTAATCACTATGTGAAATATGAAGACTTTGTGATGAATTGTTTTTAAGATAATCAGCAGAAATTATTTTCACATTTTAAGGTCCCTTTGACCTTGACCTTTGACCCCAAAATCAAAAGGGGTCATCTACTAGTTATGACCAATCACTGTGTGAAATATGAAGACTTTGTGATGAATACTTTTCAAGATAATCAGCAGAAACCATTTATACATTTAAAGCCCCTGTGACCTTGACCTTTGACCTAGTGACCCCAAAATCAATAGGGATCATCTACTAGTTATGACCAATCACTGTGTGAAATATGAAGACTTTTGTGATACATACTTTTCAAGATAATCAGCGGAAACCATTTTGACATTTAAGGCCCCTGTGACCTTGACCTTTGACCTAGTGACCCCAAAATCAATAGGGGTCATCTACTAGTGATGACCAATCACTGAGTGAAATATGAAGACTTTGTGATACATACTTTTTAAGATAATCAGTGGAAACCATTTTGACATTCAAGGTCCCTGTGACCTTGACCTTTGACCCCAAAATCAATAGGGGTCATCTACTAGTTATGACCAATCACTGTGTGAAATATGAAGACTTTGTGATACATACTTTTTAAGATAATCAGCGGAAACCATTTTGACATTTAAGGTCCCTGTGACCTTGACCTTTGACTTAGTGACCCCAAAATCATTAGGGGTCATCTACTATATATGACCAATCACTGTGTGAAATATTAAGACTTTGTGATACATACTTTTTAAGATAATCAGCGGAAACCATTTTGACATTTAAGGTCCCTGTGACCTTGACCTTTGACCTAGTGACCCCAAAATCAATAGGGGTCATCTACTAGTTATGACCAATCACTGTGTGAAATATGAAGACTTTGTGATACATACTTTTTAAGATAATCAGCGGAAACCATTTTGACATTTAAGGTCCCTGTGACCTTGACCTTTGACTTAGTGACCCCAAAATCAATAGGGGTCATCTACTATATATGACCAATCACTGTGTGAAATATGAAGACTTTGTGATACATACTTTTTAAGATAATCAGCGGAAACCATTTTGACATTTAAGGTCCCTGTGACCTTGACCTTTGACTTAGTGACCCCAAAATCAATAGGGGTCATCTACTAGTTATGAACAATCACTGTGTGAAATATGAAAACTTTGTGATACATACTTTTTAAGATAATCAGCGGAAACCATTTTGACATTTAAGGTCCCTGTGACCTTGACCTTTGACCTAGTGACCCCAAAATCAATAGGGGTCATCTACTAGATATGACCAATCACTATGTAAAATATGAAGACTTTGTGATAAGTACTTTTCAAGATAATCAGCGGAAACCAATGGTCTACCGACGGACAGACCGACGGACGGACCGACAGACAGACAGACCGACATTAGCAAAACAATATACCCCCTAGTGATGGAGAATCGGACTAAAAACATAATCGATAATCGAATTGAATCAAACATAATTAATTGATTAAAATCGGTAAATAATCGAAAACTATTTGTAAATATGCTGGTTCATAAATATGCTGGCTATAATGAAAAATACACTAGTACACATCTTTTCAAATATCTATTCTTTTATTTACTTATAATATATGATCATATACAAACAACATATACAATATATTACAAACCACAGGCTAGATTAACATATTAATTGTTTGTAAAACCTGAAAAAAGTTAAATGAAACGTTTAGACAAAGCATGAACTCCTTAACAATAGCAATTTAACTCTTTTTAACCATTTAAATTCACAATGAACTGTAACTATCACTAAGCTTGAAGAAGCACAAATCTAACAGTAATCTTGAATCCATGGCAATTTTAAGAAAAAATTATTGCTTTCACTTTCTCTGGACTAAGGCAGGTCTGGGCTCCTTGTCGCTGGCTGTTGGTACTGGTTCGTGTGGGGGCTGCGTTCATTGAACGCCACCTTTCCTTGTTGATCTTGTTTATCATATTTTGAACTAGATACAGTATGACTAGTTTCATCAGTGTTACGGTGATGTTTGTCGAAATGCTGCTGTAAATTTGTTGTATTACCCTAAAAAAAAACACAAGCATAATTTTCTCAGTTCATACTTTCCATTTAAAAACCACTACTTAAATTCTTTTTTTATCTTTTTTTTTTAAATAATATTTTGGACTGTGACTTAGTTTTCAAAAATATTCATTTTTTTTTTTCATTTTAAATTAACCTTACATTGATACATAACACGTTAACCATTATAATTTACAAAGCATGTTATCATGCTGACAATTGCCTACGATAAAAACTGGTACAAGAACTACATGTTCGGTAACAGGTTATATCCGAAAAATGGGAGATTAATAAATCACATTTGTTTGCAGACGACCGTTTTCAAAAGTATTCATTTTAATCGACCTTACCTGGATACATTACAAGTTATACATTATCATTTACATAGCATTTGAACACGTTCATAATTTCCTATAATAAAATCTTGTACAAGAACCACATATCCGCTAACATGTTATATCCGAAAAAAATGGAAGAAAATATTCACCTTTGTTTGCATACGACTTCATGTATAATTGGCAAATGACAGTTGTCATGTGAAGGTTGTGCTTCACTGGCGGGCCGTCAGAATGTTTTTTTTAAGCCAAAGACAACGCTAAACTGACGAGCGTGTCTTCCCTGGGAAATTGAAAATTTCCTTGTCCAACTTTACGATGAGAGTAACGTCCCTTTGTGATTTTCTTTTAACCCAAAGAAATGTAAGTAGCAACATCGATTTTACAGTAAATAAATCGATTGTCGCTAACATAAGCGGCCGGCGACGATTATCCGATTCTACTCGATCATCGTGACATCACTAATACCCCCTCTTCTTCTAAGGGGGGCATAATAAGCAACAGACCTGAATTGGAATCCCACAATATGGGACCACATGTCAATGCTGTGAACCACATATCAAGAAGCTGTGGTAAGTAGTTGCTGAGAAAACGA